CCCGCTGTATTTTCTTCCGCGTTGTTTTTTTTTTTTTTACTTTTTCTTTCTTTCCTTTTCTTCTTCTTCTTTTTTTTTTTTTTTCAGGTTGGAGTATAAATAGAATTATGAAAAGATTATTTAATTTTCTAATTGAATCGTATTTAAGTTATTAATTTTATTTATTTATTTCGCTAAAGCAAGCAAATCTATAATTAGATGCTGTCTTACTCACTTAATTACAGTTACCGGCATAATAGATTGTTCATCCAACGAAATACTACGGAAACTCTTGATGAAATGTTTTAAAGCAATTAGTTTATTATTCATAAAAAAAAACAGAGAATTGATTATATGAAGTACTGGAAGTAATAATTGAGTGATGTATAGATTTATTTATAATTTAATTGCTGAGCTTTAATAATAATAATAATAATAATAATAATAATAATATTAAGTGATGTTAATGAATATAATAAAATAATATTTTAGGGTTACATTAACCCTTTAAAGTTTTTAGTTATTATGATTTTTTAAAGTAATATCAAAGTTTTAATTATTTATATATATAAAAATTTAATAACCAATAATTATAAATTCAAATCATAGTATTTTTATTCTTCTAATTAATTCATTTCCCAAAAAAATAAATATTTTTTTCTAAGTTCATCGAAATCTTTTATATAATATAGTTACGGTAACAAAATTCAATGCAATTATCATTAACGTATATTCAATAATTAGGATAAGAAGATTGGTATACATCAAGGAAATGTAAACCTATTGAAAGTTGGATTTATGTTCTAATAAAGTTTTCAATTCTATTTTTTTTAATTGGAATAACTAATATATCTTATACTATTTAATCATAAAAAAAAGTAGAATAAGTTTCATCTCAAATCTTAAATCATTTTAGATTTCATTTAAATTTTTAATTGAGATATTTCAAATTTATTTTGTTTATTTTAATTTAAATAAAAGTTTGATAAAATTAAAATATGATTTTATCGTATAAAAAATAAAAATACCTAATAAAAATCATAACCAAATTTATATATAATCATGCATGAGTTTCATAGTTGATGAGAAAAAACTTTATTAATAAAAATAAGAGGTTTGCTATCTTTTTTTTGAAGTATTCTATGTTTATTTAAGTTTAAACTTCTTTAAATATTTACTTGTATAAAATATATAATATCAAACCATAATAAAAATAAAGTTAAAAAGGAAATAATTATTATAATTTTGTAAGATAAAGATTTTTTTGCCTCAATGTGACCATAAAATCAAAATTAGTGACCTTTTGGTGTGAGTTTTTTTTTTTATATTAATCCCTAGGAACTTTTATTACTTGTATTTTTAAAATATTAATATTTAACTTATTTAACTTTTATTTCAATTAGTTGCATACTGGGAGCGATTTGGCAATATACTCTGTAACCTTAAAAGTTTGCAATTCAAGTGTTTAGTGAATTTATAATATAACTAGATGCGAGAGAAATTTAAATATATTTTAATTCATTTATTCTAAAGATAAAATAGAATAGGGTATAAGAAATTAAAATAAAATAGGATAGAGTATAAGGGACTAAACAATTTGTTTTTTTTTTTATGGTTACAATTTGAGAAGTCAACCAAGATAAACTATTAATATTATCATATCAATATTAATATTGAAAATAATTATTATAATTTTTATTAACATTGGTATTATTTTTTTAAAATTGAATTTATTACTAATATATATAGTTTATATTGTCAACCAAGATAAACTATTAATATTATCATATCAATATCAATATTGAAAATAATTATTATAATTTTTATTAACATTGGTATTATTTTTTTAAAATTGAATTTATTACTAATATATATAGTTTATATTTATATTGTTTTTTTTTATATTTGTAATTTATAAGAATTTAAGTAAAACAAAGAATGTTTAAAATTTCATTAACCCTAATAACATTGACTTATTAACTCTAATAACATTGACTTGTTAAACGAGTGGATTTATAAAGAACTTAATTTTCTTAACAGAAAAATTTAAATTAAAAGATTATTAAGATATTTTTATCTACTTTTAACTTTAGAAAATAAAAAGATTCTTTTGAATGGTAATGATGAGCTTAGTAAAAATAATCATTTATTAAAATATTTAGTAGATAGATATACCTGCAACGAGTTTTGAACTTATATGAAGAACTTAATTTTCTTAACGCGGAGGATTTAAATTAAAAAATTATTAAAATACCTTTATTTATTTTAACTTTAGAGAATAAAAAGATCTTTTTAAATAGTAATAATGAGCTTAATAAAAATAATCATCTATTAAAATATCTAGTAGATAGATATGCCTGCCTCGAGTTTTGAACTTATCATATAACTTGGTTAAGCAGCTGATCAGTGAATATGGTGAAAACCGAAGTATGCATGCATTATTATTATATATATTGATGACAATCAGTTTCTAGCTAGTTTCAGTAGTCAATATCATATACAATTCATGCTTGTTTTGTGGCTGCAAGTCCATCTCAGGCACACCCAGATCGGTTCTCCATGCTCTCTCATCAATTCCTTGGTTCATTTGCTTAAAATAACTAGTCTTATCAAACTTGTGATCGTTGGAAACAATTAAAAAAGAAAAAAAAAACACCCAATTCGAGTCTGATTCTTGTGCTCTTGGAGCTCAGCATACATGTAGTGTAAGTTTAAACATTGAGGATGATTTCTATGTGTTTTCTGGGAATGCTGCCTACCATTGCCCTGGTCAGTTTGGCTTGTACACTCTCCCCTCCCTCTCCCGCTCTCTAGTGCTACCTGCAAAATCTGAGCCTCTTCAGTGTTTACCAATTCTTGAAGTGAAGTTGAAACACGAAATTTCCAATAAGTTTTCTATCTCAGAAAATGTTTTTCAGTATTCTTATTTTGACATTATTTAGAGATTATCAGTTTAAGTTATCCGGTTCGCCACATGGTTCTTAAGTAGACTTGGCCACCTAACACCGCAGGTGTTCAAAATGAATGCTTTTATTCTTCACGCATGTCAGTGGCAATGGTAGCTAGCATTCTCCTATATATTTTTTTTTCATATCATCCCAAGATGTCATGAAATTTAGTTGAATGTGAGCAGCTTCATGCTTTTCTTGCGTCCACGCTTGTTGTACCTTTAAACCCACATTCTTCCTCATCCCAACCTCTCAAAAAGCTGGGAAATAAAATAAAAAATAGCATTTTTCGGTAGAAAGCTTCGAGTTGCATCGCTATTATACCTCGATTAAACTTGTCTTCTTTTTTTTGCCCCTCTCTTAGCTTGTTTTATTTTGTAATATCATCTTTTGATTTGTGACTTTGCATAAACAGATACGATGGTGAGACCTCCTTGCTGTGACAGATTGAATGTGAAGAGAGGTCTCTGGACTGCTGAAGAAGATGCGAAAATGCTTGCTCATGTGTCCAAGCATGGTACAGGGAATTGGACTGCTGTTCCAAAGAAAGCAGGTCGATTTACATATACATAATGTTGATATGATTTGGATTACAGTTAACCTTGTTATAACGTTGAGTTTTCCTGTCAAACGGCTTTCCATAAACGAGCATGTTTTGCAGGACTTCAAAGATGTGGGAAGAGTTGCAGACTTAGGTGGACTAATTACCTGAGGCCAGATCTCAAGCACGACAGCTTCACACCCCAAGAAGAGGAAATGATTATCAGGCTTCATGCAGCAATAGGTAGCAGGTGAGTTTTTTCACAAGCTTTCTTTTTGCCTTCTTGTGCCTAATTTTCACCTCTGATAGACGCAGCTCTGCAACATAAAGCTTTATTAATAGAAATATTTCTTACAACACTTCGTCAAACTAACATTCTAAACTTATAATTACTTCCACTATGAAGCAAACTTTATGTTCATCTACGCTAGCGGTTGTTTATATACATACACACATACATCGATTTTTATCTCCTTTTGAAAGCCATTTTCCAGCCTTCACAATTTTCCTGCTGCCTAACCTCAATGACTTCTCGAATAAGCTGACAATAAGTTGCAAGCCCAACTTTCTACTAGCCAAAGTTACAGTCTATTGTCACCGAAGTTTCAGTCATTTTATCAAAGGGAGGAGTTTGATGAACAACGCTGTCAGCAACCGTGCCAAAAGCACACTGGGGTGTGTTGCCTTTCTGTCACCACAGCGTGCAGCTAGGCATCAGTTCTCAATTCTCAGTTGTAGCAAGCCATAACAAACTTAACATCCAATGAAGCCTGCAAGAGATGCAGGTTTTTTTTTTTTTGACAGCCTGTTTCTGTAACAGTGGAAGTATAAAGACACACACTCTATCTCTATTTCTATCTCTCTCATGGTTTCCCTTTGATGTTCCAGGTGGTCTATAATAGCCCAACAACTTCCAGGAAGAACAGACAATGATGTGAAAAACTACTGGAACGCTAGGATACGAAAGAAGCTGTCTGAAATGGGGATAGATCCTGTCACTCATAAGCCGTTCTCTAAAATTTTAGCTGACTACGGAAACATCGGTGGCATTGTAAAATCTGGAAGCAGAATTGGGTCACTCAGCAGAGGCCTAAAGAATGTTTTCACTTTGAAACCAGAGCAATATCCAGTCACTCCTGAAGGAATGTCGAACATCAACAGCCATTTGATGACCACAACGGTACCACCTAAGACGGAACCAAACCAAGAATGTTTCTTGAACATTAAGTATAACAATAACGCTAATGACAATCACTCACTAGATCTTCTTGATCAGCTTCAAGCCATAAGAGTGGTGACGGAGGCCTCAAGTACTTGCACTGCATATCAAACCATTCCAGCACCATGTATCCTTGATGAAGGCTCATTATCATCATCTTCATCATCTACTTGCTCCACCGCAGCTCAAGAAAAATTCCCAACAAGCTTTAGCTGGTGCGATTTTCTTCTAGAAGATGAATATCTCCCTGGTGATCATCCACATGCAGAACAAGAAAACGCAGCAGAATTCTCATCCAAGGACTTGACGAACCAAACACAGAATCCGAATGTAATGATACCGCAGAGTGCTCAATCTAATACCGAGGTTGGTGCTGGAGTTAACGGAATGGATTTGGCACTCCAAAGCAACACTGGTTCTGATGATCAAGTTGCATTATCATCGCCACAACACAGTTCATTTGTTGAAACTATGATGGATGGCGAAAGCAAGATATTCTTGGATTTTCCTAACTTGCTGGAGGAAATATCCTACTACTGATCAATTACTCAGTTCTTAAAACTTCAACACCCCCCCTCCCCCATATATGAACATGGGTACTTTCTAGTTTCTTCTCATGCTAATTTAAGTTTTGAACAAGCTTTTGTTCCTGAATTTTCTGTAACCATTAATTAAACAAAGAGTGAATGGATGGATGTTTCTTACCACGAGTCTCTGAGAAGGGTCCATGCTTACTCTTTGGAATTCCTTGGACGACAATTCGTCTGCCATCTACGTGAGGGATGAAATACATGTTTCATCCCTCAAGTATGAGCACTTAGTCAAATCAAGCCATGTTGTTAATGGTTAAAATGAGCCTCTTCCTTCCGAGTTATTGGGAAGGATTTCATTCATTATCTCCATCCGAGCTGACCTAACAATCAACTATATAAGTTTATAAAATCATGATAAATAATTTCATAGTGTTCAAATTATATGAATATACTTTTTAAATTAATTTAAAATACATCTAGAAAATACTCTTTATATATTAAAAACATGTTAAATCAAGTATCGAATTGTATATTAGCTCTATACATACAAGGGATTTTAATGTACAGATAATATGATATTCAAAAAAATATTTCAACAATAGACACATATTATTATTATTTTAATAAGTAAATATATTGAGTCATCGCCAAATTGCTTTATTTCAAAAATATAGTTTCCATTGCAAATTATTCTTGAAACTTTTAAAAATTATTTTTATTTATGAATATAAATCTTTGTGATTTAGTATTTATAAAAAGAATTAAATATTATTTTATATATGTTTTTTTTCCTTATTGAATTCCAACTTTTTTGTAAGATGTAATAAATAAGGATACAAAGCAACTCTTAAAGTGACTTGTTTTAATTAATTTAGAAGCAACTCCTTAAATGATTTTTTTTTTCGAGCTCTAATAATAAGATTTATTTTCTTCGTAAAAAAATATATTTTCCAAGCTTTATTTTATATATATATATAGCTTTATTTTTTATAGCCTTGTGTAATGCTTTATTTAGTATTGTTTTTGGTATTTATCAATTCTTACCTAATATAAAAGGTGTGTTTGAGGGTTTTTTTAATCCTTTTAAAATTAAATAGTTCTAAATATAATTTTGGATTTAAGAATGAAATTTATATCAATAACGACTAGGTGTATTAACGGTGTATGTGTTACTGTGCGGGGGCTATGGAGGACTAAATCAACGATAAATAGAAAGTAGGGAGTCAAAATGAGAAAAATAGAAAAGTTGATTGGAAATTTATTAAGCCAATGACTAGTGGTGTGTCTTTTGAGTAACCAACCTGTAGCTTTTGTTCTGATCTAGAGAGCGAGCGAGATGGTGGCGATATCGCTGTACAGAGGGAATTTGCACAGCGTAGCAGACGTCCCTCGTCGATGGCTAATGCCTCCCCCCAAGATTTCTCCCAGAGACTTCAAAACCCTTTTCAACCGTCGTTCCAAAGCTCTCTGTCGCCTCCGCTCCACCACCACGACCACCACCTCAAACCCTAATTCAAATCACAACGAGAAAGCCCCAATTGAACCTAAATTGGAAGCAGTAGAAGAAGAGATTGTTGCAAATAATAATGGTAAAGAAGCAGAACAGGCAGAAGATTGTAAAGGTGGAGGAGATGGAGGAGCTTCTAGTTCTAGAGAGGATGAAAAAGATGGTGGGTTGGACGGCGCTGATTTCTCCATGAAGCCTGCTGGTGATGCAGTTAATGGTGATCCGAATCCAAATAACTCGCAAAAACCTGACGACGTAGCTAATAACCCTAGTGTGGAGGTATTCGGATTTAATTCTTACCTTTTTTGTTCTTTTTAATTATTTGTATACTTCATTTTTTTATGATTATGATAATTTGTTGTTTAAATGATAATTGGCAATTTTAGACAAAGAGCAATGCAAATGAGTTAGATGACGAAAAAGAGAAAAGGAAGAGAGAAATCGAGGACAAGTTACAAGTTTTAAATGCAAAGAAGCATAACCTTGTAAAAGCGTTGAAGCAGGTAACTCTGTGTCTTCTCTCTGGGCTTGATTAAGGAGTGTGAATCGATGTTTTGCCCTGTTTTCTTCTTTTCCGTCCTTTTTGAACAATTGGTGACCTTGGAATGATTGACAGATCTTGAATGTGGAGGAAGAATTAAAGAGAAGAAATAGTACTCAAGGGATGCCGGTTCGCCCTTCCGTTCAACTTCAAGTGGATGTCTCAAATGACTCTGGATCGATGACTAGGCATCCTACTCCTAGGATGGGCTCTGAGGCAAATCCTGGTGGTGATATAGAAGGGGGAGAAGCTGAAGATATTTCAAATCATAACACTCATTCACGTCATGTACATAGAATGAGCAGCACATCTCCTTCTCCCTCATCCGAGTCTCCTCTTAGAAGGCCTCCCTATATTCAGCCCAATGTGGTAACGTAAATATACTCTGCTACAACTACAATTTGCCTCATTCTATTGATATTCCTGTTTGTGTTGCAGTTCATTCAAATTAAATTTCCTTTCTTTCCCGTTTTTTGTTTAATTTCTTTATGGGCCATTGTTAGATATTAGTGAATTACATTAGTCAGTGTTGAGGAAGAAAAATCACCTGAAAAAAATGTCACGAGGGTGAAGTATATTATTACAGATTCCAAGGTTGTGTTTTTTATATTCTACCATCTAGACTATCAGAGCGATTGGACAGTGTGCTATAACACCAAAATTATTAGCTGTTTGCACACTAATGGTTTTGCAGGGGTACTAAATGCCAAAGACAGTTGGCTTATTAGAGATGGATGAGTTCAGCATTGGTTTTCCCTTTGCAACTTGGATTGATGATGACTATCAATAGTTTGATAGGAGAGCAAGAAATGGGAGGCTGAAAAATATTGTCAACACGAATTACCATGAACTTGCTGTCTTGTGAACATAAAGGTTACTTAAGAGAAGTACAGTTAGTTGACGGAGGCATGTTACTATATGTTAACAGCTTTATCAGAGATTGTTTTATCCATATTGTGGAATTTGAAATGGCATAGAATTAGAATTTAACGTGGCATATCTTTCCTGAACAAACAATTATTCAATTAGGCTTCATAATAAATTAATTATGTGGATATTGTGAAACTTGAAATGGCATAGAGTTGCAAATTAATTTAACTTTTATCCTCACTTGAACAACAATATTTCAGTTAGGTTTCCTTGAAATTCATCAGTATACTTCATTAAACACGCACGGGCTAAAATGTTTTGCATTGAATCAAATCAAGAGGTGTCATGCGTAGCATGTATTTATGATTGGATTATCTTAAGACTTCCTATGCCAGGTTTTTATTTTGCTATACCTTCTCCACCTTCAGTATCTTATATTGATGTGTACCACTTGCTATTGATTTTCAATTACTGAAATTATTTGCAGGTTCCACACCCCACTAGATCTGGTTTGGGAACCTCTGTTAGTCCATCACGATTTGCTCCAATGGGGCACCATGGACATCCTGCAAACTTACCTACATTGTCTGTATCAGGCACATATTATGCCGCATCCTCTCCTTCCCCGGCAGCATCTGGTGGTACCTCAGCTTTTAAAGATGCTAGGCATCCAAGTCCATGGAATTAGAAGCTTCACCAGAACATGATTGTACACAAGCTCTATTTGACTTTGGACATATTCAGCTTTAGTGAGGTGGGCATCCTTCGTGGTCCCATTTCTATCTTGTGGCAAGGCGCGAGCTTGAAATCTGAAGCTTCCTAGAATGGCCCATTCATGTAATGAAACCCAATTTTGCTTGCCAATCTATGTAGTCAAAGGTGACAAGAATCCGACTTCTCTGGTGTGTGCGCATGCGCATGCGCTTGCGCTTTTCTGTGTATGTTTATGTGATCATCATTCTTTGTAGATGCAGTTTCACCTCTTGATTCCTGGTTTTTAGGGATAGCAGCCCTAATAGTATTATTTGATCGGAGTATTTCTTGTAGGCTTAGAGTCTGTTTGTCTACGCGGCTGCGGCTGAAACAAATAAAACGCAGCAAATATATATTTAATTACAGAAAAAAACGTCGTTAATTGTTCATAGATACCACCTTTTAAAGCAGCAGGAGGCTACTCTTAAAGCAGCAGCTCAATAATCACGAAGCAGCAGGAGGAAGCAGCAGGAGGCTGTAAACAATGGGAATACATATTTACGCACTGTGCATGCTAATTAATTAGCATGGACAGTGTAACTTGCATACACTGTACACTGTATGTATGTTTATTATGTTAATTAATTAGCACGAACAGTGAAATGTATATAGTTTTGGTTGGACTTGTTTGGTCAAACTGGTTTCAATTTAAAGTTTAAAATATATTAAATTAGGTCTATCTCGGTAAAATAAAAATTATTTTTAATTTTTTAATTATTTTTTATTTAAAAAATTAGTGTTTAATATATTTAATATATTACTTAAATTAGATAGAAATAACTTGATAAAATAGTATTTGTAGAATTTGATTTAAATTAAATAGAAATAACTTGATAAAATAGTACTTGTAGAATTTGATCGTAATTTTAATTTTATTTTTGATTATATTTTATCTAATATTGCGTGTTTAAAAAATTAAAAAAACTATAGTGTTTATCGGATATATTTCATACGTGATGGAATAATATTACGCGTTTAAAAAATTAAAAAAATTATAGTCTTTATCGGATATATTTTATATGTGATGGAATTATAGATATTTTAATGGAACAATAAAATATATTTTATATAAAGTATTATTTATTTTATGATGTAATAACATGATGTAATAACAAAAATTAAATTTATAATATTTAAATTAAAAACTATCAATATTAATATATATTTTTTAAAATTATTTTATAACTTTAATTGTAAAAATATTATTAACTAAATATATTAAATTATTTTTTTCAATCTTAATTTCAATTACAAAATTAATTATAGTTTTAATCAAATATTTATTTTTTAAAATTAATTATATTTTTAAAATTAATTTCAAAAATATATTAAATATTTATTTTTTAAAATTAATTTTAATTAAAAATACTTTTTATAAAATAATTTTTTTAAATTACAATAATAGCAACCACCGGAGAACCAAAACTATTTTCAGTCGCTCTTGTCCTCACAGCCTTGCTTGGGAACTGCTATTCGTTTGCAAGTTTATGGGGACTCTAGCCATTTCCCTACGTGGGCCCATGATGTGTTACTGGGGGTTTAATTAATAAAAAATTCCTGCTTGATTGGCCTTTTAGACCAGTCCTTGATGCTTACCTGCATTTCAGACCTTAATGTAATGACCACTTAATCATTCCGGTCAGATATTACTGATGTCGACGGGGGTATTTGATGTTGTTTTTCATTTAAAAAATATTAAATTAATTTTTTTATATTTTTAAATAATTTTAATATGTTAATGTTAAATAATTTTAATTTGTTTTTAAATAATTTTATTTATTAAAAAATATTTTAAAAATAATAATATGTGTTATATTATTAAATATATATTTAATAAGAATATTTGATATTATGGTAATTTTATGTTTGTTATTTTAAAAAATTATTTTTAATTGTGATTGATTAGATATATTTAGTTAAAATTATAATTAATATTGTTGTATAAAAAACAGTTTATAAATATCTAGTTAAAATTATTTTTAAAAATGATGTATAAAAACACGTGGTGATTTTGAATTTTCAAATTACATGCATTAGATTATTAATACATAATAATATATTAGATTATAATGCTTATTCCTTCCTTTTTTTGGGTGACCACTAGTAAGTAGTCTTTCTCACCTATATATATGTACCTAATTATTTATATTTATTTGGATATATAACATCAATTAAATAATATTTTATTGGGATAACAAGTTAAGAATTTCTAATTAATTTCATAAATAAAGGTTAACCATAATACTATTAAAATAACATTCATTTTTTCTCATTAATTACCATTGATGATTTTGAAAATTTTATATTAGGATTATTAATAGTCCCCATAAAATACGCATAATATATGCATTGTTTTTCTATCTTACTTAAACAAATATAAATTGCATATTAAAATTATATATAATTATTATATTTTGTATACATTTTCTAGTAGTAAATAAAATTTGATTTTCTTAAGATATGCAAGCATACATGCATATTATTAATCGCACCAACACAATTCTACATAAAAAACAGTAAATATCATATTAGAGATAATTAACAATATTGTTTTTACAATTTATATTTGTCATTAATAAGTAAAAACTGAAATAAAATATATATCTTAGATTCATTATAATTTTACATGGAATATTTTTAAAATTATAACATCAATTACAAGCATATATATATTGTTTTTAAGACTATATTAAAACATCTATTTCATCCAAATATTAAAATTTTTCTTAAATTTCATTATTTGGAGCACCTAATGTTTTAACCTATACTATATATCTAAATCATAACACAGGCTTTGCAATGTTGTATTCACCCTAAACATGTGGACACATTATTTTCAATGTCTTTAAAAGTTCAATTAACCATATCATGTATGTGTTGTATGAAACCATTCAGAATTTTTTATGCACATAATTAACATAATACATTTTTATAGCAGTGGTTATGCATATATGTAGTTTTTTAGGGTCAAAGTGTTGCCTGATTAGTACTTAAAAGTGCATTTTTATTAAGGTTTTATATCATCATTTTGCACTTGAAATATCAATAACTCCTTAACTAAAACATGTTTTATAATAATATATCTAATAATATAAGATACCTTTAATTTATGGTAAATGTTCATTTTAAATGCAAGTCTATCACATAAATGAAAGGATTGATTGATGAATTTAAGAACTGAAATTGAAAGGATAAAGAGATGGCCAAACTTAGAAAAGAAATATCGGTGCAATCCAAACCGGAACACTGTTCGGTAATTGAGTTATATCTGGAGCTACAGATCTCAAATTTAGGTCCAATTTATATGGATGGAAAGGTAAGACATAGGCCTACAACTTTCATATGGAGCCCAAGATCTAAAAAGGCCATTATCAAGTCCAAATTGTAGCAACAACAAAGAAGCCCGAATCTGTCTTCCAGCCCGAGCACTGTTCGGTATTTTGGCCATATCTGGAGTTCTAGAAGTCCAAATGAGCTGAATGTTTTACACAAGAAAGCTGAGACAATTGCCTACAACTTTCATGTTTGCAACTGGCTCCAATTTTGACGTTATCAATGACGTTTTGGGCAGACAAGAGAAGATAAGGATTGTCACCAAGTCAAAAGTTGGTCACCCACTTATCAATTAGTCATCAAATCAATAGTTCCCATTTTTGGCCTATAAAAGGAGGCATTTGCCATGCATTTAGGCATCTTGGTGTTCAGATCAAGATCATGCTCTTCCTTTCTCTCTTTGTATTTTTTATGCTTTGTTTTCATTAATATTAAGTTTATGCCTTTCATTTCCTTTCCTTTACTTAGTTAACTTTTATGTTCTTATTTTGTTTATCTATTTTGCTTTCTTTCATTATGTCTAGCTAAGTTAATTATGTCAAGGTGAAAAGGTTACACTAATGGTGTAAGAATAAGTATAATGTAAACTTAATATGGACTTTAATGTTTGATACTAACATGTTTTATATTTGCTATCTTGTTCACTCTTTAATACTTTGCTTGTTAAATGACTAATCTTGATTTATGTTGTATAACACTTGGTACAACAAATGCTTGGCACTTTCATAGCCCATAATGTATGGTATAACCGACACCTGAGCTATGAAAGGAACTTGATTTGTTGTTAACATAAGTTATAATCATGAATGCTTGACGAGATTTACAAGTATTAGCATTAATTGAATAAGATGACTAATGTAATCATGTTAACAATATATAATCTGATTGGAACCTCCTTTGTGTGTGCTTATTATTATCATTATTTATGTCGTCATTATATTTATCTCCAACATCATTAATACCATTGGAGTCACCATTATCATCACTATCTTTATAATTAATATGATCAATAACATGGTTCATTATATCTTTATAATCATCACAAAATCTTTTTTAAATATAGCATTAAACTTTGTAGCTTCTATACCCACAAAGATAAATAAATAAACAAATATATAATGTATTGTTATGTTCTAAATAAAACACCATAACCCTAAACATATATGAAGTTCATAAAAAAATTATTAAACAATTAGTTAGTATAAAAATCTAACTTGTGTATTTTTACATGGGCTTTTCAGTATAAATATTTCTAATACTAGTAGTAGTTTATCAAGACTTTGAAATTTTAAATGTCATAATAAAGGTATCATTGCTTTTTATAGAATAAAGCAAAAGTTGAATGTTAAGACTCAAACAATCAAATGTTAGGTGCAAATTTTAGTTAATAATTACATTAAAACAAAGAAAATAATAGGTGGAGCTTGTTTGTGTTTCACGTGTCCTTAAAATTATTGTTTCTCATTCTATTGTGTCTCTTCGTCAAGTAAACATCTATTGTTGGAATTATTTCATCTTGTTATTAGTTATTGATTTGTAAATATCACCCTATTTCTTTTTAGTTTTTAAATTGTCTTCTAGCTTTAATACAAAGCTTATGGACCACTATAAATGTTGTTATTTTTGTTATGTCTATACAAGCTTCTTTAATATGGTATCTCTTTAACTTCTCCACATGGCTTTTATTATGCTAGTTATTGTCATGTCTTCCACATCAATTCATAATATTCTTATAGTTTCACTCCCTTTTAATACATATGAGATAACTAATGGAATCATATAAAATTTCATTGATGAATTTTTTTTAA